ATATTTCCTCAGCTCTGTCCAGCTGTTCCAGGTGAAACGCCAGCAGCCCCAGTAGATTTCGAACAGCGTACTGCAGATATCCCACTTCAACCTCCAGCTCAGCTTGCAGGCTGTCCTGTTTCAGGTAAGTGTCTCTGAATCGCAGATTTGCAGGCCCAACAGGATCACAGTTAAGATTTAGCTCCAGGTGGAAGTGGCCAGGGATGTACTGCATGTCCTCAATCAGGGACTCGATGTCCTCTGAGTTGTCTGTTTCCATGTCCTCCTTCTCTGATCCTGTTGGAAAAGCTGAGAAGATTCTGGCTGTGTGTATTTTGACTGGTGATCCTCCACACCTCGTCTTCCTTAGATCTGGTTGACGTAAGATGTGAGCAGGTTGAACAGGTTAGACGTAGGAGTGACCAGGGAGGGAACTGCTGGTTATGTTAAGCAATTAAAACCAAATTTCTTTTTATTTCAGTTTTGCTTCCCTCAGTTTTTTTAAACATATGAAATGATAATTAATCCTTTCTAAAATTTAAAGATTTTAGCAATCATTTTCTCTTACTTAGATTAGGATCTGTAACAGACTCTTTACACTCTAAAGAATGCCAAATAACACTCTAAAGTTTAGAGTGTTATAATTATAACTTTTGTCATCTATACATTCTGGACCTAAAACTTCTTCTCTGGAAATTTGAGCTGATTTTATCCTTCTTACAGATTGAATATGTTTGTGTTTGTTTTGTTGAGTTTTTATACCTTCTTTAACTTTATAGTTAGCAATCCTGCTCCCAGGGTTTCCTTCTTTCCTCACATGTGCTCTGTTACAATAGTTGAATTCTCTCTGAAAGCTTTATTTTTTTTCTACTAAGCCGCCTTTTTATTTGTTTCTTTGTGTACATGACTTAAGTTGTTGCCTTTCAAGCTGGGATTTAGGATCTAGTTTTAGATTTAGTTTAGCACTTTGGTGGACTTTGTACCCACACTAGCTTAGTATTTCACAGGCCTTTATAGTCTTACCTACGCCTCTGTCAGCTGTGCCCAAGAATGTGACCAATCAGGCTCTGTGTGACTCACGAAAACTCTGAGAAAAGAAAACTATGAACTCTCTCAACAAGTGTTCTGCTTAGTTCATGATAGAATAAAATAGATGAATTTATTTATAGTCATTGCAAATTATATAATATAGTGTACAGTGAGATTTGGATAAATGACACAAAAACAAATGTTCATTGAGAAGTATGAAAACACAAATATTAATTCATCATAAGGTATTAAAATTAAACAGTTAAAACTTTAGACTAAAAAACATCTGATACTGATTGGATATTTGACCTCTTACTGAAACTCTGCTTTTCATATTTATAATCATCTTCATTATGATTTTGGTGTTTTTTGCTAACTGCTCCACTTGGTGGCGACATTGTACTATAACACATCTTGGCTATCAAAGGCACTGAAGATAAAAAAAAGTCACCAATAAATTATGTTAACTTCCAATCATTTCATCTTGGTGGTTCCTCAAGCAATTCAAAGCAATTTAAATTTGGCACACAGGTGGCAACAGCAAATGCTAATGTCTGAATTGTAATGTACCTTGGCTAGAATTCATTTAGTAGATTGTAATTCATGTGACAGAGAATACACCAAAATTAAACTAAAACATGCTTTTGAGGTGTAAATAACTCAAACTTAAATCAACTGTGTCAATAAAATAAGAGAAGTTCTGTAGAGAAGGATTTTAACATGACAACTGTGAAAATTAATAGAAAATATAAAGCAAATCAGTCTTTCCAGTTTTCCTTTTTCTTTTCTTTTTGTGTGGTTTAAAAAGACAAAAAAAAACATAAATCAAGCATCAATTTATCATCAGGATTTACATTATAAATTAAGTACTGTCTAATCAAAACATATTTGCCTATGAGAACATACTTGGTTTTTGTAGTGAGACCAAATCAAATAACTTTTTTTTTTTTTTCTAATTTAATGTGACAAGTGTTCTGTAATGAAACAATTTCTAATGAAAGTAAAGGAAAAAACAGAGTTTTTTTTCCATTATTAATCCTGAGATCAGTCTTACTGTGCCAACAATAACCTGGATTTCAGAAACCAAAAGTAGGGCTTTAAGATGGAATAATTTTCTTCAAAATAAACATCGAAATCTTGGGGAAAATAAAAATCCTAAACCTGTGTGGGAGAATTGTGATATGGCCTGAAGGAGTAAACTGATGGGCAATAGAAAAATGTTTTAACAGAATCTAAGTTTGGCATAGAAACAAAACACTTGGTGCCTCTGTTGAAACATAGAGGTGGAAACATCATGCTTTAGGTTGTTTTTTTCCCCACACTGGAATTAGGTTCATGAAAAACTACACAGATTTTAAGATCCTTTGCTTAGGCAGAGCTTCCAAATACAGCCAAGGCAAGTTGTTGAATTTTGAAAGACTTTTGTTAGATTAGATGTTAATTGAAACAAATTGCTTTCACCATGTTGTTGTTTTTTTGTAAGTTTTACATTTTCCCTCCAGTTTTCCTTTTGACTGTTTTTTATTTTTTATTAACTGGGGAAGCTGTACCATAAAAGCAGCTGTAGCTTTCCTCGGTAATATAAGCCATTTGAATTGTGTAATATTCCCTTCTGTTACAGCAGCAGGACCACTGTAAAATGAGTTTTCTTCCCTGCTGCATTTAAACCTTTCCTTTAGGCCAGAATTAAACTCTTCTAGTTTCACATTGCTGCATGTAAAAAATGAACAACTGGACAGCCTATTCTTTTTAATTTAGACAGCAGGGACATACAGATCAACAAGAGAAGCATTTCTTGAATATGCAGCTTGAAACTAGATCACCCTGGCCAAACCCACGCAAATATAAAGCCACAATGCAAACCCACACACAAATGCTTGAGTTAAGTTTGAATAAGGCTGCTGATTCTGCAGCACAGTGCCGGATACATTTGCAAACTGAATGCACTGCATAATGTGGATGCTGTAGCCCGGCCTCAGCATGTGGGTGTGCAAAAAGCTGAAAATGTTCTCCGTCTCGACACCGTTGCCATGGTGGCCATCATGGATACCGGGCTAATTGCATAGTAACATAATCATTACAGGCACGTGTTTGTGTTCTTTTAAAGTCAAAGAGAATTTTATCTCACTTTTGTTCACACTTGCTCATATTCAAGAGGGAAATTTTACATTACAGCAGGTGGCAGACTGAACAAAGGCATTATCGGATGGAGTCTGGATAATCACTTTGGAGTTACTTTTCTGTAATGTGGGATTATAACATGTGCTCCACATATTATAGTCTTTTCACAAAGGTCCTTAGGCTTTAAAACTAACCCATTGTTCACATATTTACTGTTTTGGTGAATGGCTACTGTAGGAAACAGCACTCAGTGTCATTTATGATGGAGAGTTAAGAAGTTGACAATAGCTCCAGTATTTACTTTCTGAGAGGTGTGATCTTTTGAGAGTTAGTGCAAAATTCTCAATTCTCTTTTGCATTTTCCCATGTTAAAATATAATGGAGAACACATTCGCTGTATGGGGGTTTAGACTGGTTTCAAAGACTTGTTGAAAATCATTTGATAAAAATGCATCATGTATTATGCCATCATGACAGAAAAAAGAAAGTAACTCTGGGATAAAAAATGTGTCTTGTCTTTGTTATCAGAAAGAACAACATCCTCCTTCAAATCCAGGTTTGGTCATTATTGTGTCAGTGGTACAGATACACATTCATGGCTTTTCATCTTCTACTGCAGCGTCCTACATCCATTTGGTGCATTTAAAACTGCAGCTGTCGGCTTCTTATCCGCAGCTAGGATGAGTGATCACAGTAAAAGCATCAGGTGCCTTAGGGAGACCTGAGCAGATCTGACCACAGATCAAAGTCCTTATCTCTAAATGTACCAGGCAGTGCACAGAAACAAGATATATTCAGCAAGGAACAACTGTTCTTATCCTTGATCTTTATTGTGTAATTAATTGTATTTTTCAAATACAATTCCTTTTTGGCCCACCACTAACTTTAACTGCTTTTGTAATAAACCTGTGGATAAAAACGAATCTCCAGATATGGTTCTGCTTCTGCTGCTACAAGGGAAAAAAAACATCCCAGTAGGAAAATTATGCTTGTCATTCACACTAATTTTTTGACCATTTTTGTTCATGTCTGCTGCCATTGCCAGGGGGACTATTTGATTTCTTTTGCCATGAAAACTTTCCAGGAAATCAGTCTTCTAGTCTCACAGCCGCGTGGCTTTAACCTGACGCATACCCACAACTCCACGTCAGGAGGTTCAGGCCTGTTAGGGGGGGAATCTGTCTATGCTGTGTGTGTGTGTGTGTGTGTAGGCAGGGAAAAAGTTGTCAATTGTGTAAGTGTGAGTCAGACTGCAGAGAGTGGTGTGATCACCATTTGTAACACCTCATTATTTCACACTCCTAACACCTTTTCCACCAAAATGAGATCCTGAATCTGTGAAAGATGCTCATCCAAAGATTTAATAAAACTGTAAAATTGCACTCTGCCCACACCATGATGCAGTTATTTCAGAATAAACAGAGTTTTAGACTTGTTTGCATGCAGCAAAAACATGTATTTTACTGAAGTGATTAGTTGACATTACTTGTAAAAGATTAACTTTTATGGAGCTGCATAGATTACACCAAATAATATACCTGGTAAATTTATAAGTAGCAATTAGTTTTTCAGTAAACCTGTTTATTTCACCAAATGTTATACCATTTTCCATTTTCTACCTCTTCTAAGAATCAGTAAGCAATAATTTTCTGCAGGGATTGTGTATGTATGTATTTATATATATATATATATATATATATATATATATATATATATATATATATATATATATATATATATATATATATGTATTTTATGTATTTTATGTATTACTGTATATATACATAAACAAAGAATAAATACATTCCAACAGACAGAAAGATAGAGTTTTTATTTAATCAGTTGCATAACAATTAAGTCAAGTTCCTGTATGTAGATTTTATTTTGAAAGTTAAACCGGATGCAGATCCGTTGTTGCGCCTGACTTGTCTCTTCTCCGCTCTCCTCTCGCACTCTGCGGCTGCTGCTGGTCGCTGTCATCATGCAGGTGGAATCTGCGCAGTGTGCTTCAGAATAAAAATCTTTGACAGGGACGCAACGACTCTGAGCTGCCAATCAGCTGGACTCCTGACATCCATCCGCCGTGGAGGAAGAAGCAACAAGACAAGAGACAAACCGACACATTGGATTTTTTTTTTTTTTACCTCCTTGCACCTTTTACCTGCCTAAGTTAGAAACAGGTTTAAATTTGGATTAAGATCTCGTTAAATTATTGCTCTGCGCGGGACAATAAAACGGTGTTGTTACAAAGTGTTTTCCTCTCTTGGCGCAGTCCAGCACAGCTCAGCGGGAGTCGCAGAGGATGTCGTCCAGTCCTAAAGGAAATGAAAGTCCCAAACAGACCAGAAGGACGTAATCTTTTGGGAATATCTTCTCTTTGCACGCGCCGGTGCGATGGATGAAGGCACCGCCAGCGACACCATCCCAGATCTGAAAGACATAGAGACAAAAATCGGCCGGAAGACTCCGGAGGGTTTGCTCAGGTGGATGAGAGAAGATGCGTCCTCTCTCCGGGGAGAAACCAAACTGGCCACCCCTCAGGACACCAGTAAGGACACTGGGAGGAAGAGTTTGGATGAAAAGATTAGGAAGCTCAGGATGGAGATGGTAAGATATCGATGTGTGTGTGTGTGTGTGTGTGTCCGCCAGTGGATGTAGATCCAGTTTGTCGGTGTCAGTCAGCGCAGTTGAGCTGTCACACTGACGCAGTTCAGCGGAGGCTCTCATCCAGCTGGAGAAGGTTGCTGTGAATAGCTAAACACATTTAAGCAAACTAATCCGTCCATGCAGGAGCAATGATTTAAAATGAATGTAGAGGAAAAGAGGAAACGGTGCAGGGTCCTCTACAGGCCAGCGTACAGTTTAGATTCATCGGGTTGGATTGTAAAATGTTGGCTATGGAGAAAGTTATTTGGCTAAATCCCATTTTAGCTTTTGCCCTTCATTTAACATTTACACTCTAGAATTCTTAAGGGAAGGGGTTCCTATTGGTCTGTGTGGATCAGGAGAACATCAAGTAGGATTGGTTTTCCAAGCTCTTAAAAACAGATTTTTCAGGAGCACGCTTGGAAGCAAATGGATTGGAGCAGTAGGGCAAACCTAAAATCAAATTCATCTTACATTTGAGGTAGTTCTATTAAAAAATGGTAAATGGAAGATAGAAACCAAATTGCATCTAATTGCATATGATTAAATAGCATGTCAAAAATTACTTATAGCCTTTTTTGTAATCTGAGTATTTTTTTCCCCCCCATTTTATTTTGGCTTTATTGCAAACATCCCATACTTTTGCTTCCCGCTCATTATTCATCATCCTTCATAATGCCTTTCAAGTCAAAAGCCCTCTTGCCATCACCCTAATCTGTAGGTTCCTTTATCGATACTCAATCAGATTCAAGTCAGGACTTTGACTGGGCCAAACTTTAATATTGTTTCTAGTCAGAAGATGATGAGGAAGGTGAAGGAAGAAAGAGGAAGGGAGGAAAAAGATCATGAATAAATGAGGTTGGTGGTTGAAACAACATGACAGATGGTGCCAAACAGGATCACTCTGTGGATGAATGGTTTGAGTGTTGAGCTTTCGAGTATTGGAGTTTTTCTGGCTTTATGGAGCATGGACCCTCCTCTACCTGTTGCTTCACAATGTTGACTAAAAGAAAACTCATTAACCCCTTTACTTAAAGAGGATTTTAAACAATGGCTATTTGGAAATATTGCTGGTCGTGAAACTAAATAGGAGTGCCATCCTTTAAAGGAGTGCCATCTGAAAACTACAATCAGCTAAGAGTGGCATGTCTGTTAGCAAACTACAGGCTAGCAGATCTAGAAGATAACTCCAACAATTGCTGAGCTATTGTGCTTTTTTATGCTTGTCATAAGAAATAGAAGAGTAAACAGATCTATTTTCCATTTTGATGTCATTTACTTGAAAACTATTAGAGTTTACTTTGTGTTGTTCATAAGAAATCCGAGTACAAATAATAACAAAAACGATAAAAGTTGTAGCTATGACATCTGTCTAAAGCTACACAACAGTGGATAATTGCTTCTTTTGTGTTTTAAATATAAACAATCAGATCATGTTATACATTTTTATAAAACCATTTGTGTCAATACTGTAACCAGTTTACTCACAAAAGATAAACATTTAGTTACTATGGTATTGTTTTATTTCTTATGTGTCTTTCAGGGAGTTCTACAGTGATTGCTTTAATTTTTCAAATGTTATCACTCACTTATTTTATCAAGACTCTGATGTTATTTAAGCAGATTATTCCCCAACAAGCAGCTGCTGATTTCTCTGTCATCTTGTTTACAAGGATCCAATCCTCCTCCAAGCAGCAGAGTAAATCCTCTGTCCCACATTTGATTTTTTCTCCCCTCACTGTACATGCATGTAATGCATTCCTGCTGCAGATTGAGGCGTGCACGCAGCCTGTGGTTCTGACACAGAGCACATGCGCAACAGCATTGAGACTTCCAAACAAAGCGAGCCGTTATCCGACGATGTTTCTGACACATTGTTTAGTTCTTAAACATCCAAAAACAGACCCAACAGTTGGTCACATGTTGGACAGCCAAGTTTATTACACCTCAGGACTGCAGCTCAAAGCAGTGCTACAGTTTTAAAGTGCAGTAGTTTCATTAGTACAGTAAAAATTGAGCAATCGTGTGGACAAATAAGCTAAAAATGTCCTGAGTGAAACTGTCCAGGACAGATGTAGATGACATTTACCTGTTACTGCAGAGTACAAGCAGAACTTGCTGCAGCAGACAGGCTACTTGATGTGTTCAACGTAACATTATTTAGTTAAAATTATATTGTGAAATATATTTCAGATAAGAATTGAAAGATCAGAGAGAAGGTGAAAGCTTCATCTGAAGCATCTTGTCCTTCACAGTCATTTCAGACTGACAGCGATGGAGCTCCATCAGAATGAGGAACAACAGCACATGGAGGGCAGGATCACTGTTTATATTCTATGAATTTTTATTTTCAACCCAGAGCATGAGAAAAGGGCACCAACCAGAGCTGCACATTATTTCATTCTGTATTGTTTCTTCTTTTGGGAGTTTCTGCAGCAGCCCCCCCCTACAGCAGCTGCCGCTCCTTGGGCACTGCTGATGCTACCTCTGTGCAGAACCAGCCCTGTTTCAAGATTTTTGTAATTTCTCTGAATCTATTAGGAGCACACAATCTGAAGGATTTGTGAGGTGTCATCAATCCTCTCTGCTGGGAAGAAAGAGGGACCGACAATATAGTTGTGATCATGGCCGTAGGTTTGGGTAGGGACGGTAGGGACATGTCCCGACCAATATTC